CTTTACTGGCTCCATCCCCGCCTCTTCGACCTGTTTGTTTCCTCTCCTCTATCCATCTTCTATCTGCCTCCCACTCTCTCCCTGTTTATTTCAGAACCCCCTTCCCCTCCCCCTTTTCTGATGAAGGGTCTAGGCCCGAAACGTCAGCCTTTCTGCTCCTATGCTGCTGCTTGGCCTGCTGTGTTCATCCAGCCCTGCACCTTGTTGTCCCAGTCTATCCAACCTTCCTTCATAGCTAAAATCCACCATACCAGGCAATATCCTGGTAAACCTTTTCTGTACCCTCTCCAAAGCATCCACATCCTTCTGGTAATGTGGTGACCAGAACTGTACACAATATTCCAAGTGATGCCTAACTAAAGTTCTATAAAGCTGCAGCATAATTTGTCTATCTTTATACTCAATGACCCTTTTAATAAAGGCAAGAATGCCATAAGCCTTTTTTACTACCTTATCTACCTGCACTGCCACCTTCAGTGATCTGTGAGTCTGCACACCCAGATCCCTTGCATAACAATACTCCTAAGGGTTCTGCCATTCACTGTATAATTTCCACTTGTATTTGACATTCCAAAATGCATCACCTCATATTTGTCCAGATTAAACTCCACCTGTCATTTTTCTGACCATGCCTCCAACTAATCTATACCCTGCTGTATCCTCTGACCATCCTCCTCACTATCCACAACTCCACCAATCTTTGTGTCTCCACAAACTTACTAATTAAACCAGCTACGTTCTCCTCCAAATCATTTATTGAGACCATGAACAGCAGAGGTCCCAGCACTGGTCCCTGTGGAACACCATTAGTCGCAGCCCTCCATTCCAAAAAGCATCCTTCCACCGCTACCCTCTGTCTCCTATGACTAAGCCAGTTCTGTAGTCATCTTGCTGCTCACCCTGATACCATGTGATTTCACCTTTTGTACCAGTCTGCCATGAGGGACCTTGTCAAAGGCTTTACTGAAGTCCATGTAGACAACATCAACTGCTTTTCCCGCAATCATCTTCGTCACCTCCTCAAAAAACTCAATCAAGTCAGTGAGGCATGACCTCCCCTGCACAAAACCATGATGTCTGTCATTAATAAGTCCATTTGTACCTAAATGCTTATAGATCTTGATCCTGAGAATCTTTTCCAATAATTTCCCTACCACCAATGTGAAGCTCACAGGCCTATAATTTCCTGGATTATCCCTGCTACCCTTCTTAAACAATGAAACAACATTAGCTATTCTCCAGTCCTCTGGGACCTTGGTTCATTGTGCCCAGCCTAGGCTCCAGGTAGCTGAACACATGCTCCACAATGCAGAGTGAGTGTTGAGATGCCAGAATCAGAAGTTCATGGAGTACATGGGGGGTTGTCGGGCTGGAGGGGTTTACTGAGACCCTCAGGACAGGGGTCAGACCACAAAGGGATTTGAAACAAGGATATAATTTTAAAGTTCAGGCAGTTTAGTTTATTTTATCTCATTCTAACATTATTTCTTAGCTATTTTCTGACACACTCCTTTTATGATCAATTTATAACTTTTACCTTTTATAGGCTTTTACAACATGGGAGGAAGCAATTCAGACCATTGTTTCTGTGCTGGTCCATCAGAAGACCCTACTCAATTAATCTCATTCTCTGATTTTACTGATGCTAACCCAGTCCCTAGTAAAGGCCAATTGGAAATTGACTTCTTGCTATGAGGGTTCAGGTTTTGGAAAATCCCTGATTTTTTTAAACAAGAGACACCAATTAAAGCTGGAATAAGGAAGGCTAAGAGGAAGTATGGGGAAAGGATGGCAGGCTGTGCTAAAACAAATCATAAAATAGTAAGAGGGTAGTGAAGGATAGAGTGGGCCCCATAAGGAACAAACAGGGTAAGCTGCCACTGAAGCAATGGATATGGCAGAGGTACTAAATGAGTATTTTGCTTCTGTCTTTATCAAATTAGAAGATGGTGACATTGGGCTGGTTGATCATGTGGGTGTTGAGGAACTGAATAGTATAGTGATAGATAAAGAGGAGGTGCTAAAAGACTAGCCACACTCCAGGTACAGAAGTCACCAGGCCTGGATGGAATCCATCCAAGATTCCTGAGAGAGCCAAGGGAGCCGTTGATAGAAATGTTCCAGGCCTCTCTAAACACAGGATCAGTCACAGGAGCTGGAGGATTGCGAATGTGACACTGTTGTTTAAGAAAGGGACAAAGGATAACAGGAAACTACAGAGCTGTTAGCTTGTTGTCAATAGTGAGAAACCTGATGGAGGTCATAATACAGGATAAGGTAAATGTACACTTGGAGAAAAATAAGTTAATTCAGTGATGGTAATGCCATTGGATAGTCAAGGGGGTAATGGTTAGATTCTCCCTTGGTGGAGATGGTAATTGCCAGATGTTTGCAATGTGTAAATGTTATCAAGCCAAACTTGAATATTTTCTGGGAATCCA